ATTGATGTTTCTCTCTCCCCCTCTCCTTTCCTCTCTAAAATCAATAAAATATATTTTAAAAAAATAAAGAAAGAAGGGAAAAGGTTACCAGGCAAGCAGAAACAAGTGTTCATTATACAAATGATAACCCTAATCTGAGGATAGTTACAGGACAATGTGTTTATTTGAAATTTGGAGATGTATCTGGTTATTAAAATTGAATATCTGAGTATTGGCTTGGGAAAAAAGTTAAGAACAAGAAAAAAAGTGAAAAAATCTAAAAATTAATTGGAACCTATTCAAATCTGGTTTTATGGCTAATCATTTACTCTCTTGCAAATGTTTTGAGAAACACCCACCCAAATGACAGATGCTATGCTCAAATTAACAAAGATATATATATATTTTAATTTCCCCTTCTCATGTCCACCAGACACCAATTGCTTTCTCTTGTGTTCTCCCAGAGAGATGGTAAGACTTTGAAAGTTATGGATTGTTGAAGGTTTTCCTCATCCACTTATGTTCTTGCCTGTGATTTTTACAAATATTGCTCATTTTTTGTTTGCTCTTTTGTTTTGATATCCAGTTATGTTGTTTTTCTTCATAAGCAGATTCAGGGAGATTCAAAAACTATATTAACCCCATGATAGTCCCAGAGTCTTTATAAATATCTTTGCATCCATATTTCTGCCTTACCTTCTTTCTCTGTGGCTAGAGAATAGTAAACTGAAGGCAATCTTTAAATGCTAATACAAATGATTAATTGGACAGAAAAATTAATTCTTTTTACTATGTCTTTTGTGTAGATATCATCAAAAACATTTGATCTCAAATTAAGAGCATCACTTATTTTAATACAAATATACAAAGATGTAAATTAAATAAATGCAGAATAGTTACTAGATTAAAGAAAATTCTGAGGTACCTGGTGGTACACAGAAACACAAAAATGTTTTAAGAATAGAAGCCCTATTGTATGTTTCATTTCTCTTTATAAGGCTTATTAGAGGGCCCGGCAGTTGGCCATGTAATCACTGATTTTCTATTCTGATTTTGGAAGTCTTGGTTCTCTTTATCATTCATCCTATCTAATAATAGACAAACGTGGTAATTGACCGTACCTTCGCTATGCCTCCCATGGGCTAATCAGCGCGATATGCAAATTAACCGCCAACAAAGATGGCGGCTAATTTGCATACTG